GACCATGTACTGTTTATCCTTGATTTTATTTATGTGCTGTATTATAATTTTTTATTTGTGTTTGTTCAAATATACACAATAAAGCCAACTTGATTTTGGTGTATGATGAATGAAACAAATATGATAATGGTGCAATGCAGAACCACAAAACCTAATTCCTGTTTCAGAATTCCATCTCATATGATCCATAACCGCAGCCTGTGCTCTTTGAACAGTTCCTGTCCGTGTACCTGGTCACAGTGATTGGGAACCTGCTCCTTGTTCTGGCCGACACCTTAGAATCTGACCTAAAGAGCCCCACGTGTATCTTTCTCTCCAAACTTTCCCTGCCTAACCTTTGATTCATCTCCACTGTGGTCCTAATGATGATTGGGGTCATCCAAACTCAAAGGAGAGTCATCACCTACATGGGCTTCCTGACACAGGTGTTTCTTTTTTCTCATTTTTGTATGCATGCATCTGATGGTGATGACCTATGACCAGTCTGTGGCCATCCAGCACCCTCTTCATTACCCAATCATCATGAACCCTCCCATCACTGACTTCTTATTTTTTGTCTTTTTTGGGTTAATATTTTGTAATTCTTGCTGCACAGTTTGACTGCTTTGAAATTTAACTACATCAAGGATGTGCATATTTCTATTAGTTTATATCAGTCTTTAGAAGTTCTTAAACTCTCCTGGCCTGATATCTTCAATAACTACATTGTTGTCTACTTCACTGTTGCCATATTTATTTATTTTTATTCCCCATTATGGAGATCCATTTATCTTAGAAAAAATTACTTCTTCCATTAGGAAAATCATGTGTGACTGGGTGAAAATTATAAAGCTTTGTCCACCTGTATATCTTACCTGTCAGCTTTTTGCTAACACTATAGAACAAAACTTGGCATGTACCTTAGTTCAGCTATATTGTATTTTCCCCAAAATGCTGCTATGACATCAATGATGTACACTGGGGTCACCTCTATGCTTGAATCCTTTCATCTACAACCTGTGAAACAAGAACATTAAAAGTACCCTCAGTTGGGCCCACAGTAGCTTAATATCATTACCTATAGACCATTTCAAATATAGATCTATAAATAATGTCTCTTTAATCACACTTATTGGTAATTCAAGGGCTTGTATTCATTGTCGTGTTTCATAGAGGAACAGAGGTTGGAAGGTTTGTGAGTGGAGTAAATTGGGAATTTTTTGAACGAGTATGAATTATTAGTTTGGGAAGATAAAAAGGTTCTGGAGCTGCATGATGGTGACAGTTTCACAACAATGTGAAGGTAATTCATTTCACTGAAGTTTTTATTTAATGTGGTTTAAATGTTCATTTCTTGTTATATACTATAATAAAATATTTTGTTATATACTCTAATAAAAATGGAAATAATTGGTAGATTGATCTTTTTTATAAAAGAGAGAAATGAAATAAGTGAATAGTATACACACACTTCATAGTGAGGTGGGGAGCATCAAAAAAAATGTGGACATTAATTTTCTCTTTGTCTTTTTCCTGCGTTAGAATTAGGCAGTCCCTAGAGATTTGGATAACATGGACAAATATGGATAATTATGAACTCTGTGCATTGTGCCTTCAAGGTTGAATAAAAGTCAAAATTTAGCCTGTCCCTACAGTCCTTCAGACTGATAGCTCTAGCATAGTGTACTCCACACCTGTTCATGCATCTGGAAGCTCCTATCTGACATTGTCTTCATATCAGTCCTGAAGATGGACTCGAGTATACACTGGTCACCAGACACATGAGGGCCTTTGGATTTACACTCCGTGGTGATGACCCAGCAGAGAAGCAGCCCAACCCAGTAAGTACAGATGGAATCTGTGCAGTGGGAAGGACTCTTGGAAATAATTTTTAGTTATCATGAGCACACATGTGAAGGTTGGGTGGCCAGATAGGAGGGTACCAATGTGCAAGGCTTCAGCTACGAGAACAGTGAAGTTTCTGTTCCTGGTTGTGTTAGGGATATCAGGAATCTTATTCAGAATTTGCTTTCCACCCAATCTAGTTCTACTTCCCATTGGTATCTTGCATACTACAGCTGAAAATGAGTCCCCCTAAACTATTTCTCAAGAATATTAAAGGCTTATTAAGGCAATGAAAAGTATGAAGAAGATGATGCTCAACCCCCCCTTACTGTGGGGCTTCCTAAGTGCTCAGTGCAATTGCTGTCTGTTCCAGTAGCTTATTTCATATGTTTTATCATGCTGCAGTTATTTAAGGCCTAAATTATTATTATTTTAGAGAAATGAAACAGCACCTCTTTTGTGACTCATGCTAGGCTTTTGGGTAGAAGAGTGAATCTATGTTTGAACTGGGCTCTTCAATTGTAGACAAAGGGCTACAGACCAGGAGAATTCTGGAAGTTGTTCCCTTCCCAGCCCAACCATCTACTTCTCTTCCTTGTCACTCCAGGTGGAGACCCCTGGCTCACTGTTCTCTTCTCTTCTCTGGTAGATGACATGGGACAGCAGTGGTGGGCACCTGAAAATTCAAGGGCGGTTCAAGGTCCTCGGTTAAGATTACAGAAATGGTAGGCTCACAATAATTCAGCCCATAATTACAGCAATGATTCCTTTCTCTCCCTGTCTATTCTAGGACAGCCTTGCAGGTGCCCACGTCCTCATCTGTACGTACAATCCGTCCACTGAACCTGAAAAGGAGACGTGGTTTCAGGTCTTAATTTCATTTCTAACCATAAAACCATAATAGACTTAAAAGTATTCCTCCTGTGTACCAGTGGTTAAGAGTTCTGGTCCTCTGCTTTAAACATTTCATTTGGCTTAGACCCCATAAAAATATTTTCAGGGATTGGATCCCGAGGCTAACAACCTAATATAGGATCTTGTCAGGTCCACCTGTATTTTCTGGGACAGACAGCAGGATTTTAGTGTCTGTGAGAATCACCATTACTCTTTGAATGGTTTTCTAGATAATTTACCTGCAGTGAATAGGACTAAACATTAAAGGGATGACCTATGGGATGCATGTATAATGAATTTGTTTAAAAGGACAATATAAAATATAGCCACACTTTTTATTGTTGTTATTATTGACGAGATTCATCTTCTTAGCATTCAAAAAATATCTTGTAGCCTGAAGTGACCATTTTCCTATTTGTAGATGGGACAGTTGCTTTTTGCCCCTATAGATGCTTATGCTGTATATTTGGAGTACAATTTCTCACTCTCTTTCATTTCTGTTTATCTAGAGCTGGGCTTTTTGTTGTGGTTTGTTTGTTTGTTTTGGCACAAAGGAGGCTTCATAAAATCTGTGAAACTTTGACTGGACCATTCCTTGGTTCCCCAAATTGGCCACTTTGTTCTAACACATCTGGTGCAGTCCTGTCTTTATGTTCAGACCTTTCAGAAATGTCTCAGAGAGAGAAAAGTTAAAACCATGACTTGCTTGTGTCCATGGTATGGATGCATGGCTCTTTTTTCTTTCAATATCATTTATAGCATTAATCTTTAAAAGATCATGGCACAGATTTTTATGGGTATAAAGAAAGCAAAAGAGGCAGAAATAGGTAGGACAGGTTCACTTATTGTTCAGGCTGAAACAATTATTTGTTTTTTCATCATTCCAAGCTCTGATGCCCTTTGACAATTGTAATTTTTCAAAAAAGTCACTAATGCCATAGTGAGGGAATTCGTTATTGTATAAAAAAAACAGACACAAATATGTGGGAAGTTCCAAAGTCCCCTTAGTTTTCACACATGAAATGAGATGGGTGTCACTCTATTTCCATTAAACTCTGTGGGCACAGAGAGGTGGAGACATCTTCGTATATTCTGTTTGGTGAAGCAAGAAAATGATACCTAACTAAAATAATGATTTTTTAAGTTCCATCTCAGGGCCACTTCTCCTTTCCTGGAGTGAAATGGAAAATATCATTGGCCATACAAAATGAAATTCTTTGATGAGTTTTATTGGAAGGATTATTCCTGAACAGAATTCAGTGATATTTTAATGATATATCTTTAAAGTATGAGGATTATTGATAAGGACTTATTTTGTTGGTAAAACAAATTTAGATGATAAATACTAAAAGTAGAAATTCATTGATTATTGGAAGCCAAATAACAATCCTCCACACACATATCTGGAAGTAATCACTGTGTGATATGGAGGAGGCACACATATTTTTGAAGGATTGACATAATAATAAAATGACAACTTCAATGTGTCCCTGTCCCCAATTATGCTATGCATCGGGTAAAGCATTTGAAATCAACTTATGTTCTTTGTAGCTGTTATAAGCTTTGCAGCTTTTCCCCAGCTATATCCTTGTACCATGATGTTATGTCTCACCTCAGGCCCAAAGCAATGGAGCCATCCAAACATGAATGGGAACCTCTGAAACTCTGAACCAAAATTAAACTTCTCCTCCTTTAAGTTGCTTATGTCATATATTTTGTTAACAAAAAACCTGACTAACATACCCTAGAAAATAACTGACATATAATGTCATTTTCTGATTATGAGCCATTGACTTGCCTTTAGAATCCAGATAATGCAGTTGTAAGCTCTAAATATTTATATATAATTTTAACTAATGGTAATTTATACCTTTGTGATAGAATAACATAAGGCATATTTCTTAATTTTCTTTATTGAGAAAGACTTTCTCTTACAGAAGAATTTTATTTTTCTTAAAAGAGTATGATTTATGTCACTATGATAATGGACCCGTTATATATAATATAGTATTCTTAGAGTTTTAAACCTATGCAGTTGATTTTCTCTAATGTAGGTGTGTATAGAAAAAAAGTGAATAATATAGAAACCAATAATGAAAGAGTCCTAAGAAGGTTGGGTTTGTTATATTGAAAAATACTGGTAAAGGAGTATAGAGCTCAATTGTGCATATTTTAATTGTGAGTGCACAAACTAAAAATGCACACAGAGTGCTGAATACTTATTTATTTGTTTCCTTCCCTCTATTGCTCTTTTTCCCAAAAGGTTTCCAATGAATATAGTGGAACAAAATCTAACAAATGCCATGGAGTTCCATCTCATGAGACTCTCAGAGGACCCAGGCCTGCAGCTCATCCTCTTTGGACTGTTCCTGTCCATGTACCTGGTCACAGTGCTGGGGAACCTGCTCATCATCCTGGCCGTCAGCTCTGACTCCCACCTCCACACCCCCATGTACTTCTTCCTCTCCAACCTGTCCTTGGCTGACATTGGCTTCATCTCCGCCACGGTCCCAAAGATGCTGGTGAACATCCAAACTCACAGCAGGATTATTTCCTATGTTGGCTGCCTGACACAGATGTCCCTTTTTAGTGTTTTTGTATGTATGGATAGTCTGCTTCTTATTGTGATGGCCTATGACCGGTTTGTGGCCATCTGTCACCCCCTGCATTACCCAGTCATAATGAATTCTCGCCTCTGTGGAGTCTTAGTGTTTGTGTCCATTTTGTTTAGCATTTTAGACTCCCAGCTTCACAATTTGATTGCTTTACAATGTACCTACCATCAGCATGTGGAAATTTCTAATTTCTTCTGTGAACCATCTCAACTTCTTAATCTTATCTGTTCTGACACCTTCACCAATAATATGGTCATGTATTTTACTGGTGCCATGTTTGGATTTTTCCCCGTTTCAGGCATTCTTTTCTCTTACTATAAAATTGTTTTCTCTGTTCTAAGAATCCCATCCTCAGGTGGGAAGTACAAAGCCATTTCCACCTGTGGGTCTCACCTGGCAGTTGTTTGCTTATTTTATGCAACAGGCCTGCCCGTGTACCTTGGTTCAGCTGTGTCATCTTCCTTCAAGAAGGATGTGGTGTCCTCTGTGATGTACACTGTGGTCACCCCCATGCTGAATCCCTTCATCTACAGCCTGAGGAACAGGGACATTAAAAATGCCCTGAAAAGACTCCACAGCACAGCATTCTAATTTCATTTTGTCATACATCCCTTTTCTAATGTGGTTTAGAGCAATCAGTCATTGAGGCCTTCAAATCCTGTCTCCTTAAATCATTAATTTTGTGGCTTCTTGGCTTTCCTTCCACTCTCTGGCTGCTATCTGATTACTATGTCCTTTGGTTTGTGTTTAATTCAATTGCTAAGTATTCTGAAATCCTTTTTCATTGTAAACATCATGATAAAATTAACGTACCCAGGTATCTTCTGTCATTTCTGAGCAAGGATTCTGGCCTCCAGGTGAAATACTAAACTAGTTTTTAAATATAGGTAAAAGTGACATCATTTTGAAGGTCATGTGCATTTTCTTTTAAAAGTGAATATGTCCATTCAGGCATATTATGTATAGGGGCCATATCAATGGTGCCCCATATTGAATTTTATTGGAATAATCTTGAAAGATTAAAAATATGAAGGCTTGGATCTTACCAGAAGAGTCTGACTCATCATAAAGTTTTCAAAACTCTTCAAGGAAAGTTCAGACATTGCTTCTTAAAGGGATCAAATTCAAAGGTGTTGGAAAGGAGCTTATTGCAACATCAGAAAAGGTGGTTTTCTTCAAATATCTTCTTCAAATCATTGCCTGCAATGCCATACAGGTTGTCATCCAGGCTGGTTTTATATTATTGATTTTCTGTTTTAATCTCACTATTCTATATTTATATTTTTGCTGAGTAAGGACTCCTGAAATGACTGGATTTTCCACCTGGTTTTGTTGTTCCCCACATTCATGCATGGTCACTAAATTTCACTACCATGAGAACTTGGTATATTTTACTATGCCCTTCACACCTCTATGCCCTTACTGCTTTAGAAGATCCATTGAGTTACTATGTCTTTTCCCAAACTATTTCCTCTTTGCCTTATTCATCACTAAGTTAGAGCAATTGCCGGTATTCAATTCTCACCTTTAAAATAAGGAAATTTGTTTCTACTTCTTGATTGAAACCAGAGTGATAAGTTGTAGGATGTGGAAAAAGATATGAGGTGAGTTGTATGCAATTAAAATGTTTCAAAGTATGCTCAAGAATTAAAGTTGGTTTTAAATACACATCCTTGTTCTGGGTGTCCCAGTGAGTTTTCAGTGGTAGCAGCATATTTCAGGTCTGCCTGCAAGACTGTCCACACTGGATAGTCTTTTATTCCACTCTAGTTTCCTGTCCACACTCTCTGGCTTCCTGTCCTGCCTTGTATTCTCTCCCTTTCATCTGTGTAATACCACTTGCCATGATGCCCATCAAAGCCAGTGCCACACTGGATCTTTAGCATCCAAAATTGTGAGCTAAAAAAAAAACCCCTCCTCAGCAGCAACAAACAAGACGCGAGTATGATGTAGCAACAAAAAAAAAAAGAATAAAAGAAAACAACAAGCTGCACTAAGCCAACAACAACAAAAAATAATAACAACAAAAAAATAAATTAAGCCCTTACAGACACACAGACCAGAACAATGTCTGACCCAACATCTGGGCACCAATGGTCCATCAAGTTTACACATAAAACTAGCATTCACACTAACTCACAAAAAGATACTGGAGATCTGAATTTTAAAGGTACATATTTACTATTTTGATTTCCCCTTCCACTGGTTGGCTTTCTGCAACTATTCATCTGAGAGAAAAAATGTGTGACTTGTTCATGTTTATTATTACGATGATTCAGATTAATAGTTATAGAATAAAATGCATGTTTGATAAGTTCTATAAAACAAAGATAAAACAGGACCTATTTTTTTTATAACTGGACACACAACAGGCAATAAAAGGGTTTTGGGTTTTGCTTTTCTTTCTTTGGCATACTCACCATAGAAGAGGGAATTGAGATTAGAACAAAGAGCATCAAATATTTTTCTTACACAAATATGGCTACCTTCAATTTCATATGTTATGTTCTGTGAGTTTTTCTGTGGCCATGACCCTAGTATCCTATTCCTGCCTCCCACCATAAAATGACTTGATGTTAGAAAAATCTATTCCCTATGATCCAGGCATTTTCATGTCTCAACTTAGAGATTATTTAATTGATATTCACTTCTTTAAAAAAAATTTGTAATTATAGATGGAAAGAATGCCTTTAGTTTATTTGTTTATTTTAATGTGGTGCTGGGGATCAAATCAGTGCCTCACATGTGCTAGGCAAGAGCTCTGCCACTGAGCTACTGCCCCAGCCCCTATTTACCTCCTGATGGGAAAAAAGTGAGTATTTGTCTAAATGCTGGAGTACTGACCCTATGTTTTCTTCTATCAGTTGCAAAGTTGCTGGACTAATTCCTAATTCTCTGATCCACTTTTAATTGGCTTTTAGGCAGGGCAAAGGGTAGGATATGGATATTTAATTTCTCAGCACCGTTTTTTTTAAAGTTATTTTTTTCCTCCAACACATAGCCTTGGTGTCTTTGTCAAGTATCAGAAGACTGTATCTATGTGTGTTTGTCTTTTTGCTTCTATTTTATTCCGCTGGTCTTCATGTTGTTTTGGTGCCCAAACCATGCTGCTTTGTTATTGAAGTTCGGTAGCCTGTTTGATATCAGGCAATACGATGCCTCCAGCATCACTCTCTTGGGTCACTATTGCTTTGGCTATTCTGGGTCTTTTATTCTTTCAAGTGAATTTTAAGGCTATTTTTGGGGGGTTCTGTGAAAAATGTCATTGGGTTTTGATGCAGACTGCTTTGAATCTCTACATATTGGCACAGACATTGAATTACTTAACAAGACCCCTTAAACTCAAGAAATAAAACTAAGAATCAATAAGTGGGATGCCATCAAGTTAAATAGTCTCTGTACAGAAAAGGAAAAAAGGGTGTGAAGGGAGAGCTTACATAATGTGAGAAAATGTTTGCCAATTACCCTTCTACCAAGAGATAAATATTCAGAATTTATAAAGAATTCAAATAACACTAGAAAAAAAAACCAAATAATCTAAGGACTAAATGCACAAAAGAACTAAACAGACATTTCTCAAAGAAGAAATACCAATTGCCAACAAATATATATGAAAAAAAAAGTTCCACATTCTCATTAATGAGGGAATTGCAAATCAAAACTACAGAGATTTCAACTCACTCTAGTTAGTATGGCAAGCATTGATACTAACAATAATAAATACTGGTGGAGACATGGAAGAAATATTCTAAATTGTTGGTGGGAATGCAAACTAACAACCACTTTGGAAAGTGGTATGAAGATTCCTTTAAAGACTACAAATGGAACCACCATATGGCCCAGCTCTCCCACTCCTTGGTATTTACGCAGAATAAGCAAAGTCCACATACTATAATGATACAAGCATACCAGTTTTTATAGCAGCACAATTCACAATCCCTAAGTTATGGAACCACCCTGGCTGTTCATCCACAAACAAATAGATCAAGAAAATGTGGTATATAGACAAAACAGAATTTCACTCAGACATAAGAATTAAATTCTGTCATCTGCTGGTAAAATGAATGGAACTGAAGAATTTCATTCTAAGTGAAATAAGCCAGACTCCAAAAGTCCATGATCAAATATTTCCCCATCGTATGAGGAAGTTAGAGAGAAATAAAGAATTTTTAAAGAGGGGATCCCATGAAAATATAAAGGAGATTAGTGGAGTCTAGGGAGGAGTTTAAGGGGAAGGGAGGAGGGATGGGTAAAAGGAAGAACTGCAGAATGAACTTGACCCTATTATGCTATGTACACATATGATAAACCACAGAGGATTCCACCTTATGTATATCTACCAAGTACCTATTATAAGAAGATTAAATAAATAGAAGGAATAACAGCAGAGAAAAGGGAACTGGGTAAGGGATGAGGGGAGGAAAAGTACAAGTACAGGGATTGAAATGAAGCAAATTATATTGATATGCATGCCTTCATTTGTCAAAATGAACCCCTCTAGGATGTACAACAACTAGAATGCACTAATGAAAACACTAGAAAGTAAGCATTCCAGTAATTAAAGGGAACCTGACATAAACGGTGCAATTTTGATTATGAAACAAGACATGTTTTAACTTCCAGTGCATAGGTGGGATTAAAAAATCAGAGGGTGCTTGAACAGGTCCAGTGCACTGTATTACTGTGTTTAAGTGTTTAGTGCTTGCAATGAATTGATATTTAAATCTATTGAACAATGACCTGTTCAAGTGTTTAGTGCTTGCAATGAATTGATATTTAAATCTATTCTTCTCATATTAATAGATTTACCTAATGGATTTTACAGACAAAAAAAAATTTAATTTTTAATATCCATTCCTGAAACTACAGAGACACTTTTGAAATACAGAGGATCCTTAGGGACTCTTTTAAAACTTATACTTCAATAAATTAGAAAATCTAGAAGATACTGAAAACGTTTTAGACAGGTATTACCTGCTCAACGTGAGTCAAGTGGATATAGAAAACCTAAACAGACCAATGTCAAGTGTGGAGATTAAAGTAGAAATTAAAACCTTCTAAGAAGAAAAGTTTAGGACCATGGATGCTCAGCTGCACTTTGCCAAACCCTGAAAGAAGAAATGACGCTATCCCCCTTAAATTATTCCATGACATAGAAATGAAGAAACACCTTCAAATTCATTGTACAAAGACAGGATCACCCTGATACCAAAACCAACACAAATAAAAGGAAAAAAATACTACATATCCATATCCCTGATGAGCATAGATGTTAAAGTTCTTGATAATATATTGACAATCAACATCCAAAAACATATTAAGAAGATAGTGCACCATGATCAAGTGGATTAATCCCAGGGATGTAACATTGGTTCAACATATATGAATTAAAAAATATAATCCAACACATGAATAAGAGTAAGGAAAAAACATCACATGGTCATCCCCATATACGGAAAAAAAAAAAACCTTGACAAAATCCAGTATCTATTCATGTTAAAGGTTAAAGACACTGAAGAAAATAGTGACAGAAGGAACTTAACTCAACATCAAAGATACTACATGTGACATGTTTACAGTAGCACAATTCA